TTTTATCAAAGGTTATTTTATTTTTTATGTCATGATAACAAAATAAAGGTTTTAATTTTAAACTACTTTACTACAATTTTCATAATTTAAAGAAGGATAAAAATGTCTTCGTTACTTTAAAAAGTCGTTGTCATTATTTATATATCCTATCCAGTTAAACAGTAATTCATTAAATATTCGTACTAGTCGAAACACTCTAGTAAACCGTATCATTGGTCCAATATAATATAAAAAAAAATTCAAAAATCCTCTTAAATAGTCTGCGTCCAACAATAAACACAATCAAATTTTCTAAAGCAATATAAACATTGCTATACCTTATATTTAAATAGTAGTCATATTATCCAATATACGTACTATCGCCTGAGGTACTCTGTTCTTATAGCCTTTAGCTTTTCTTATTATCTATTCAAAATAACTTGAGTGAAAGTTGAACAATTAAATTATCATGACGTAACTATAATGAAAGCTATTATATTTATTGTAAGACAATTTTAGTAAAATTATCATCTAAAAAAAAAAAAAAATATGACTGCTATACTCCAGTAATTACTTTGCTATTCAAAACTCGACAGCTAAACAAAATAAATAAAATATTCGTTTATTTTCTGTGTTTCTGTGATCTATTTGTCTATACACAGTTAGTGTGAAATTTATGTCAATGTAACGAGTTTGAAATAAATATTCGTTATACTACCTTTTAATTAATTCAATCTTAAGTGTAACAACAAATAATACTATATTTATATGATGGTTGTTTTATAACAGAGGTGGCCAAACAGTCGATTACGATCAACCGGTCGATCGCAAATGATTTTAAAATCAATCGTGTTAGAATTAGTTTTAGGCTACAAACACAAAAATTAGTAGATCACAGCCGAAAATGTTTGGATGTCCCTAATTAATAATAACACGTAGAATACATACTGAAGTTTCTTGTGGAGCAATCGATTTTATGAGATAACCTTTAATTTTATTTTTTTTTGCAAAATCACATAAGATCTTGGCATCTTTAGAATTACCGTTAGAACTCAATACTGTAGACCAATCATCATACCAATTTGTTCGAAAAAGTCTTACGATTACGGGTTTATTTGTATCTGTCACATTTTTGAGGAGTTCTAAAACATATTTATACGAATCATTAGTACCAATGATGAGTTTTAAAGTTATTAAGTATTTATAGAACAACATAATGACTTTATTTACTTAGAATTTATAAAACATCAATAATTGTCTAAATTACTGACGGTACAAATTTTTTTTTTTAAATTTCTTACCATTTTTTTAATATTACATAAATAGTTCATGAATAAAGATAAATTAAATAAACCAATATTTAACATAAAATCATGTAAATATAAGTATTATAACATTATGTTTACCTTCATCTACATCTAATCGAGACAATTCGTTGATTTGAAATCGTGTATAAATTATTACTTCACATTCACTTGGTATTTTTTTGGGATCTAGATCAAGTAAAGTAATATCAGATTCATCCATATGTCCTTTGAAATAGCACATTACTTGTTTAGAAAAATTAGAACCTAAATCATAAAAAAAATTATTCACATAAATATTTGTATGAATTGTAAATATCGACATTATAAATTGTGTTTGAACGTATCGATATTTTATATATTCTATTGTTATGATATAAATTTAAAAACTAGTTTATCATAATTGATCAATAGTAATAATGGTTAATTAAAAATATATAATTTTCATGAATTTTTGCGATTTGGTCTGACATATGAAAATTAATGTGTCCGTATGATTCAAATACATAGAAATTTCAATAATTTCATATAAAATATGTAATAGACTTAAAATAAAATACAATTAAAGTTTTCAAGTTTTTTTTAAAAAATAATAAAATTGATTTACAACAATGCAAAATTTAACATACGATTTGACATTTAAATTATTCTTGCTGTAATCAACAATATATATCTAGATTTGAAATACAATTTGCATGACATTAAAAACATTATGGTCACATCTTAAAATTAAGAAAACGTATCTATACCAAAAAAAAAAAAAAAAATTATGAAGTGATGCTATTGTGATCAGATGGAATTTAAAAAATTTAATCAAAATAATAGCTGTATGTATTTAAAAGAAAACACGTACTTGTTGATTGGTTTGAACAACTTGAAGCCACAGACTCATTGAGTAAATAAAATAATAAAAAGTATAAAATCATAGTTTAAAAATATATTATACTTCAATACAAGACCAGAAAACTGCTAATACTACAATAAAAATGATTTTGAAAATATAAATTTTTAAATGAATTGTTTTATGTAAATGGTGAATAATGTTATATATTATCAAAAAAAAAAACAAAATCAAAATGTTTTGAATATAACTCTCATATATGTTATACCTAAAGTAATCACAAAATATTTATTTAATGTAATAATAAATTATCAAATCTAGTAAAAATAAATATTTAGGTATAAGTTAAACGTAAATATTATTTAATCAAAAAATGTAATAAATAATAAGGTTTTATCAAAACACTTTTAAATTTTGTACCATTTTTATTACAATTTGGGAGCTAAAATGATATTTTTTTTTTACCAGAAATGTATTATTTTAAAATTCATTATATATCTTATTTTTTTCTTTATAAAAATACAACCGAACTTTTCGATTTCTTATTCAAAACTATAATATTTTGCAGAAGATTTCGATGCATCAAACGGATGTGATGTAAGATCTCGCCGATGTCTTGATTTTCTGGAAGCTGTGTACTCCTCGAGAAAACATTAGAACAGAATTACAAACTGCCCTATGTTTTTACTACTGATTTGTGTTATACATATATTTGTGTGTTATAAATTGCGTGTATGTAAAAATGTTATTCACCAATAAACGATTGCAGCGGAAAAGTAATATTGATCAAATAGATGCTCCTCTACTGTTTGTTAAACACTCCAAAAAAAAATGTAGGAGATTGGTAAAAACGATTTAAAATGTTGTTAAAATTTAATATTTATTTAATAGTTAACATTATAACTGCTCTTTTTAATGAACAACTATTTAACTCTACGTCAGATTTATTAAATGGTCCATACATAAAACCATTGTAACCAGCAATTTATTATGTTTTGAAATACATTCAACGATGAATCACAGCGACAGTTGTTATTAGTGTCATCGTCATCCATGATTTTTATATCATGGAAATTGTAGTTTATGATATTATATTCGTAGTTATACCCAATTATATTACGTGTAATACGTTCGTTTCAATACCTATCTTTTATCATGATACATAAAATAATTTTAAGGTTAAAATTGTTCGAAATACGGCTTTACTTCAAAATTGTGACCGGTGTGATCCTTGTTATCATAAAGTGATAATGTCTGAAAAGAAAATTTTTTCAGGCCAGCAAGTTAAAAAATCTTAAATTATTCTTTCTTTAATAAACACAAAATAAACATACCATTTTATTTTTAATTGTTATTATTTTATATATTTCTATCTTATTAATTTAATGGAATAGGTTAAAACCTAGTAGCACTTTACAGTTCAGGACTCTTTGACATAAGCCATAACTCACCATATTGTCTACAAAGGTATCAATAAAATCAATAAAAAAAAGCGTTCTAAAAGTATTAAATTATTGTAAATAGTTCATACTTCGTCGGAAACAGTATTGAGATGCACTATATAGAGCATCCCGATCATTACAAGCAATACAACAATAGATTAAACAGATTTAGTATATTATATCCTTATTATAAAACAATAATTTTTCGTATAAATAATTGTGTACAACTACGTTCAAATTGTTTTAGATTGTTTTTAGAATATCTGACCACGCCGCCACTCATCATAGTGGCTGTTATTAATTCACCGGGAACAATACTGATGCCGAACAGCAAACAGATTATTCTTTCGTGCCTGCACCGTCAAAAATATTTGCCACAATATAAAAATCAAAAACATTAAGGTAATGATAAAAATATACCAATAAATATACGGAAAATTAACTTTCAAGGAAAATTAAATATAATGAACTTCATCCAAGGGCAGTTCGTTTTTAATCATACTAGTGGAGTCATGAATAATTTTAGCTTGTCAAATTTAGGTGCAAAATGGATTAATAAAATTCAACCATATTCCAAAAAGCAATATTGAATACTAAAAAAAAGTCACTAAAATATGTTCTAATGTTATTAAAAGTCATTTAACCAAACACAGCATTTCAATTTTTGCAACATAGGTGCATAATCACTTTTTTAACATTCTACATGGTTTGTTTTGAATTGATAAAACTATATTTTTTCAACTCCAATTTTATATTTCTGTATTTATTGTTTTTCTTTCAGACAAAAATTCAACAACAATGATCACTTGCTTGTCAAAACGTATTAGCCAAAATGACGTCCATGTAATGCACGTAAGCTACTCGTATGAGCACGTCCAAGTATGATACCAACAACAGTCGATGACGTTAAATCTGTAACGGAGTAACACTCATAACATAAACCGGTCCTTTTCAGGACTACCAATCACGATGAAGCATAAACCTTAATAACCTTATAACTTTTAATTTATAACTTTATGAGTATTAAATAAATGTACTTTATAATAATATTAATTACATTGTTAAAGTTATTATAATATCAAATTAACTCAATAATAATTATATGTTATTAATTTATATAATTGAACGGAGGTAGTGGTTATATAGTGGGTTGATGAAAAAAGCATCCCTAAAGCTGCCATATATTTAGCATATGGTTTTAAGCATACTCACAAATAATTTTAGGACTACATCCCTGATTACATCCATACTACTATTTTGTTATTCTATAATTAATTTATATTATACAATTACAATGTTTGTAGTCATTTATACATAATATTCGGAAATAAACGAGTTAAATAAAACAGAAAAATAAAAATAAAATTACCAATATACATATATAAATTTAATACATATTATTAAGTATGTGACAATACATTAATCAATAAATCATGATATTGTGATGAAATATAATAAATATAACTAGATACTACAGTATATTATAAGTTATAATACATTTAGAATAGGTTTAAATTCTGTATTTTAGCGTATCCGAAACTAAAACCATAAACAACATGTCTATGAGTTTAAAAAAAATTTGAATTTTGGTGTAGAGAAAATTAGAAACACGATAAAAACGATTTAAAATTTGAATAAACTTTTATATTACTCTAACAGCTAATGAGTTAACAGCTGGTTATTTAAGTGTATATGAAGTTGATTGAACGTCAAAATTCTGACATGGTGATAGTTGACCACTTTTGAAGCCGCCAATTATGTTGTTAAATCCATTAAACGTTGAATTACAACCACAGTCGTTGTTAATGTCATCATACTCCGGATACTCGATAAGAATACCACTGTTTAGATTACGTACAAATTTTCCCTAAAACAACATGAAATGATAAAATAACATATTTTTAAACAAAACCTTATTTTATAAAATTTAGGTTTTAATATATTCGTAGTTATACTGCGTTTTATACGTTCCTTTCAGTTCCTACCTTTTATCATAATAAATAAAATAATTTAATAACTCATATTTGCATAAAACTACTTTCCTTCGAAATAGTAGTGGATTTGCTCAATCTCGACATAATTCTATTATTTATGCGAAAAACATATATTCAGAGAGGGAATGTAAGGCTATCTTAGATGACAGGTGATTTTTATTTTAAATTGTAAATATTTTATGTATATCTATACAACTATTTCGGTTCAATAAAGTTGAACTTGGTTGAACATTAGAATTCGGGACACTGATATATTTCGCTATTTTGCCTACTACGATATCAATATTATGAAGAGTAAAAATAGTTTTAAAAATTTTGAGCGTTGAAAGAAAAAAGAAGATGAGTAATTTTTAATATCATTTATTGTATAGTAAAATATTTTCTAAAGACCATAAATCTTGTATATACAATTTAACAATAAAAAAGTAATTTATCATATATATATATTTTTAAATGTGTACAACAAATTTTTAATTAAATTGTATAATATTTACCTTATCATATAGATTTCTAGATGTTTGTACACACCAAGATGAATTATCAAATTGTCCTGTACACACCTAAGACAGTTAAAAAAATAAATTTAAGATTTGTATTTACCTATAATATTTTCATCTACAATACTTGTGTATATGAATTATATTTTGTTGAATTGCTAGCTGGAAACAATTCGACAGCAAAAGCTAGTTTATCTTGAGATATTTTCGATTTCTTTATATATGATGCCACCTCTTCCTAAAATTATTAAACAATAACACATTTAAATAATTTATAGTGACGTTAGAACTTACAAGTTATATTTTTATGACTTACACTTAACGACTCAATAACTACTATATAACTATTCCAACAAGTGTTATTTTTGTAATTATAAATAATGATATATGATTTTAGATTTTGTTCGATATATTTCTAAATAATTATTATATTCATTTCATATATTTAAAAGCATTAAATTTAAATATGGGAATAATAAACTGAATAATTATTTACAACAATAAAAACCTTGAAAAAAGAACACTTCCAAAGTATGCATCACATCATTACTCATTAGATATTACATATGAAATACATAACGAGTTATTTTAACCCAGATTTTTGATTTGCACTGTAAAGGATTGCAGAATTTCTGTTTAAAATTTTATGTTCAGTTAATGAAAAAACTTTATAGGTCATTATTTGTCGTTCTAACTAATATTTGTAGGAAAAGCTTTAAGTTGAAAAAAATAGTAGGTAGTTTCGATGACCAGCTCTTTCCCCAATACGAAATAGTACTGACATAGTTTTTACAAAAATTGCAATAATATATTTTACACAAAAAAAAAACTCAATTTGTATGAGACAATTCAATTTTAGCAAATAAAACAATTGTATTTACCATTCCATAGAGATAGTTAGGACCGTGCTCACTTTTTGTAATTGGAGTCCTTCCATTATACAAATTTGGATTGCATTTATTCATGAAATAAGTTGCTACTTCATAGAAATCTACTATTTCATTCAATTCTTCATAATTATAGACTTAAAAAAATACAAAAATTAAAGTTAAGAGTTTAAAATTGAAATTAATAGATGTTAAATAAACATTTTATAAATTTAAACACATTAATTGAAATATTTAGTTTATTATTGATATAACTTGACTACTAAAATATTTTAACAAATTGGTAAATTTCCAAAGTAAACAACACTTATATTTAAAACATAGTAACAATAAATATTTAGTAATTTTTCAAATTAATGACCCAAATGTATTACTTAAAACATTTAAAAAAACAATAATAATATTCGATGTATTGAGGTATAGTTTAATAATTTTCGAATTATTAGAAAGTATTCTCAATAAAAAATGAAAATATTTTAATATTATTAAATAAATCTTAAGTATGTCGACTATTTAAAATAAATAATAACAAATAAAATATCTTTTGATTATCTATTTTATATAACATTCACATTACATATTAAATAAAAATCAACACCGTTCAATAATCGATATTATAAAAATTCATTAATCTGTGAAAATAAAACATAAATAACATACTGCAAGGGTTTTGTATTGCTGATGGAGCTGGATTTATAGTAACACCAATAATTAGATCGCATTCTTTTAATTGCTTTATGTAAGGTATAATATTTTTTCCGATGTTTTTATTAAATGCTGAATAACCCTTTAATACACACAAAACTAAATGAGAAATATCAAATATTATTGAAAGTAGAAAAAAACTATTACATTATTAAGATTCAGTTAATTAAGACTAACAGATTAGGACCTGTAAGAAATATAAGTATTAATATAGTTCTAGTTTTCGACAAAATCAAATATATTCCTTTTTCAATGAACAATTATTTTGTTTTTGTGTAATTCAAAAAAATATTTATGGTATGGTTATATTGACATTTATTTTGAAACTTAAATATATACATTATCATTCAACATCTATAGTACACAATGTAAAAATCCAAAATTTGTAATTGGAAAAGTCTATTTAAGTACTCAGTTACTTGGAACTTTATAAAACTACTATACCCCAGATAGGTCGATGTCTGTACTTTTTTTGGTTGTTCGTGTATTAATATTAAATAAAACGGCTTCAATATGAAAATATGACGACTCCTATATAAAGTTTGGATTTATTGCATTTGAAACTAACCGTGAAACCTGACCACAGTGAGTTATATGTTCCACTGTTCTTAGTAATTATGCGTTGAAACCCTTAAATTAGAACGGCATTTAAAAACTATCCATCCTAAATTGAGTGATCGGCCACCAGCTATGGGTAAGTCATAGAATTTGAAAAAAATAAAACTTGGAAGAAGTGGTTCAAAATTTGAGTTAAATGAAAAAGTGCTATCTGCATTATTTAAAATTGCACAATTAATCGCAAAATCAAAAAAACCACACACTATCGGTGAAAAGTTATTGAAATTTTGTTTACTAAATTCTGTTGAAAAAGTTTTAGGTGGAGAGCTAAAAATAAAATGCAAGAAATTCCATTATCGAATAACACCGTGAAAATTCGCATTGACGAAATTTCTTTCGATATTGAAGAACGATTATTGGTAAAAATAAAAAACTCACCTTTTTACGCATTGCAGTGTGATGAAAGTACTGACGCATTCCGCAATGTTTTAAGTTATTGGTTTTTGTTAGATTTTTGGACGAGGACAACATAATAAAAGAAGAACTTTTGTTACTGCAGGAATTGGGTACTACTTCGAAAGGAAAAGATTTAATGCAAATAATAAATGATTATTTTGAAAAGCACGACATTATGTGGGAAAAGCTTGCAGGTTTTTGTACGGATGGAGCTCTAGCTATGCTAGGATCACGTTCAGGCCTAGTAACGTTGATTAAAGAAAAAAACTGTTCAGTATTGATAACGCATTGTGTAATTCATCGACAAGCATTAGCTTCAAATACATTACCGGTAGAACTCGTATATACTTTAAAACAGTTCGTAAAAATGATGAACGCCATCAAAAGTAGTGTACTTAATACTCGTATTTTTAAAACAAAATGCTCGGACTTGGATTCTGAATATGAAACTTTACTTTTTCATACTGCAGTCCGATGTCTTTCGAAAGAAAACATGTTGACACGATTATTTTCACTTAAGGAGGAGGTGATAGTGTTTTTAACTGAGAAAAAAATGATCGATTTGTTGAAATGTATTTGTGATCATAGTTTGAAATGCACTTAGCTTATCTTGTCGACATATTTGAACATTTAAACAAACTTAATTTACAATTACAAGGCTCTGGGAATCATAAATTGGAAAGCGCTGCATATATATTTATATTTGAAGATAAGCTTCGTGCATTTATTTGTAAAATTAATTTATGGATAGGTAAAGTTGAGATGAATAACTACTCAACGTTTCAAACACTAAAAAGCTTGGTCAACAACGAAAAATATGCTGACCTCGCAGTTAAGATCCAGCAAAATGTTTTACACCATTTGCATAAACTTAAAGATGAATTTAACCGGTATTTCCAGAATATGATGGTTATGAAACGGAAGATGTCCAAAGTATGATTCGAAACCCTTTTATTGTTAAATTTGATGAGGTGCCTGATGATATCCAGGAAGATTTGATAAAGATACAAAATAATCGAAATTGTAAGGATTCGTTTGAATCTTGCATGAATATCGAAGAGTTTTGGTGTAAAAAAGCAATTACTTATCCTAAGCTTCGAGAAATTGCGTTAAGATATTTAGTCATGTTTTCAACAACTTATTTGTGCGAACAAGGATTTTCTGCACTACTCTACATTAAAAATAAACAAAGAAATCGGTTGGACGTCATTAAATACATGCGTGTAGCTTTGAGCAATATTACCCCAAGAATATCTTTGTTAGTAAAGGAAAGACAAGCGCAAAAATCACACTAACTTGTTTTCATAATTATTTATTTACCTTTGAAAAAATAATATTATGATATGCATTTTTATATCATAGTAATTTGTGTTAAATTGTTAATGAATGTAAAATGTTTACCTAAACTTGAACAATATTAAAAATTATTATATGTTAATTTTAAGAAATTGTATTTTATTTTATTTATTCATAATCTAAATATTTTAAATTTTAATATGTGAGAAAAATTTAATTTTTGTTTATTAGAAAAAATAAGGTCTAAAAATGATGGTGGTCCGTGATGTATTGAAAGTTCTCTAAGTGGTCAATAGTGTCAAAAAATTTGGGAACCACTGGTCTATACACACTGGGTGTGAAATTTATGTTAATATGACGAGTTTAAAATAAATAGTCGTTACACTACTTTTTAATTAATTAAATCTTAAGAGTAACAACAAATAACACTTTATTTATATGATGGTTGATTTATAACAGGGGCGGCCAAACAGTCGATTGCAAACGATTACGATTTTAAAGTCGATCGTGTTAGAATTTATTTTTATGCTACAAACACGAAAATTAATTATGATGGTATAATAACTTTATTAAAATAAAATCTTTCTTATCGAAGACGATCCTCAAAGGTGAAGTATATTTTTAATGGGCGTAACCGTTTTCCGCCAAAATAACCCTAGCCCGTTATCACCATGACCGTTTTCCGTCAAAGGTTATATTCCGATTTCCGCCAAAAAAAATTAATAGATTTTTTTTGAGAACTCCTAAACTCAATCCGTCAATTAGTAATGATTCGATGTACGTGCCTCATCGTGTAACACACACGCATCTCACCCCATACAGATATTGATCATAAACATTATCTATATCTTATCTTACTATTATTATTCGTCTATTTAAGTATACCCACTGTATTTTCCAAAGCATACTCTATTATATACGAATTATACGTAAAAACAGTATAAGTATAAATATCACATGTTAAACATCAATAGTTTTACAAATAATACATTATTATAAAAATTAAAATTATAAAAAATAGTATACATTCAATTATTTATTATACGAAAAAGAGATTTTTTTGTACTTCTATAATCAAATTCTGAATTCACGTAAATATTGAAGGTGAATTTTTATAAAACGATTGATTGAAGTCGGAATGAAACGATTTACATGCATTTGTGATTCTTGTTAATGCAGAAGTTGCTTCTGCCCATAACTTAGGGGGGAACGTACTTATATTTAAAATGTAATTGTTCAATAAATATTGTGAATACGCTAGAACGCGATTATCAGATGGACGCGGATCGCGTACAACGTCGTAATCATTACTAATTGACGGATTTAGTTCAGGGGTTCTTAAAAAAAAAATGTATTAATTTTTTTGGCAGAAAACGGTCATGGTGATAATAGACTAAGGTCATTTTGGCGGAAAACGGAAACCCCCTTTTTAGTAGATCGCAGCCGAAAAATGTTTGGACGTCCCTTATTAATAATAACACGTTGAATACATACTGAAGTTTCTTGTGGAGCAATTGCTTTTATGAGATAACCTTTAATTTTATTTTTTTTTGCAAAATCACATAAGATCTTGGCATCTTTAGAATTACCGTTAGAACTCAATACTGTAGACCAATCATCATACCAATCTGTTCGATAAAGTCTCATGATTACGGGTTTATTTGTATCTGTCACATTTTTTAGGAGTTCTAAAACATATTTATACGAATCATTAATACCTCGCGGGCTGAGAGTAAAAAGGTTCTATGTCAAAATATCTAATTTTTCAGGAGAACATTTTTAAGGTTTGTTGTCAAATATTTTTTTATCATATAGGGATAATTGTTTATAATTGATATCAAAAAATAAAGCAGGTTTTCTATAACAATATAACATGCGAATATAGCATCTCACTATTTTAGTTGATTCGCTAAAAATAAAAAACAACAAAAAAAACAGTTTAGAGTAAAAAGGTTCTATACAAAGGACTATTTTACTCGCTAAATATTTTGTATTTAATAGATAGAACCTATTTACCCTATAGCCCATTACACAATTTTGATCAGTCAGGCCAACATATTAAATATTTGTAGAGTCCTCTTCCTCAAATTCATTTTAGCGATGTATTTCAATTTATTTTATTTTATTCTATAATATTATACTTTCACCACATTATAATACTATGATATTTTATGAAAAAAAAACTATAAACAAAACTATGAATATGAATTTGTAAGTAGATATCCACTATCCAGCAAACAATCTATTTATAAATTGTATTCCATAACAGTCCCATAAACTGATAACAATATTAAAATAACACGCACTCTTATTATATCCAATTGGCGGGATGGGAAACAAGTCTTGTTTTGACCACGGCACAATATAATATTATCGTATCGACATAATATTAATATAAATTATTGTGTTATTGGTAGTAATAACAAAGGATAGGACTCTTATACTCTTAATAATTTTTTTGTAATACAAAATAGAACCTTTTTATTCTCAAAAAAAGTTATGGAGTAAAATGATTCTATCTAGTACATTCAAAAATAACGACTATATTAATTTCAAAGACATAGAACCTTTTTGCTTTGCGTATCTCATTCATTATTACTCGTATCAACATATTTTCTAGCTTAAAACATGCGCCATTGAAAACGTATTAGGAATATTTGAAAACGTCAATTTCGAAAAAAAAAAACATAGAACCTTTTTACTCTCAGCCCACGACCTATCATGAGTTTTTTAGTTATAAAGTATTTATAGAACAATATAATAACTTAATTTATTTAGAATTTATAAAACTTCAATTGTCTAAATTAATGACGTTACAAGTTTTTTTTTTTAATTTATTGTGTTTTATTATGTATTATGTCATTTCATTTCATTTTTTTTTTTTTTTTTTGGTTTCTTCATTTTCATGAGCACGTAACGGTGCGTTCCACGGTTACAGCCTTCGTCGGCGGAGGCTTGTCATGCCTTAGTGTGGGACCGGCCAGCTGTGGGATTGTCATTTCATGTTTTCTTAAATTCATTATTACTTGTCATTTAGTTATGCTTTCAGTGTCACAAATTTTCTAGTTTATCCAGTTATTTTTCGTTGTTTAGTGTGGTGACAATATAAAACTGTTCATATTATCGTCGTCCAGTTTATTCGTTAAATCGTCTTTCTTTTTCGTAGCAGCCTTCTACAGGTAATGTCATTTTGTCATCATGTGTTCTTTGTACCAATGTTGTATTGTAAACCACGTTGTGATTTGGCTACTAATTATATTCCCAGTTTTAGGGTGGTCATTACATTATCAGCAGTTATTGTGATTCGTGGTTTTCCTATTTGTTTTTCATCGTTTTCTTGTGTCTTCGAATTCAACGTGGTGACTGAGGCTACGTAGTCGCAAACGCAAGCTGTTATTTTATTATTATTATAATTATTAGTGTCATGTATTTTATATACGTTCCCGGTGCATCGCGTTGGGATAAAATCCGCCACCTGACTCAGTCGCATTGTAAGTATTTGTTTGATCATGTGTTATTTTGTTTGTATAAGGCAAACGGGCCATTCTAGTCATAAAAACGTTTAGCCGACATGGCAGTCATTTTTTATTATTTATTATTTGTATTATTAACAGTAGTGGCTTTTATAAATATTATATTTGTCAATAATTATTAATCTTTGTATTATTAAATTAAAACAATTATTATTATTATTATTATTATTATTAGTTTTGTCATGTATTTAAATATAAGCATGTCATGAAGGTATCACTTATTTATTATTACAAATAAGAGCTGATCACAACAACAACATTTATTACCATTTTTTAATATTACATGTAAGTTCACAAATAGAAATCTATTAAATTACTCAATATTTATCAAAAAATCATGTAAATATAAGTATTAAAACATTATGTTTACCTTCATCTACATCTAATCGAGACAATTCGGTGATTTGAAATCGAGTATAAATTATTACCTCACATTCACTTGGTAATTTTTTGGGATCTAGATCAAGTAAAGTAATATCATATTCCTCCATATGGCCTTTGAAATAGCACATTACTTTTTTAGAAAAATTAGAACCTAAATCATAAAAAAAATTATTTACATAAATATTTGTATCAATTGTATAATATCGATGTTATAAATTGTGTTTGAACGTATCGATATTTTATATATTCTATTGTTATGATTTAAATTTAAAAACTAGTTTATCATAATTGATCAATAGTAATAATGGTTATTTAAAAATATATAATTTTCATGAATTTTTCCGATTTGATCCGACATATGAAAATGTTGTATACTTACTTATCGACAAATAAAAAAAAAAATAGAGAAATTTAAAGTAAAACCAAACACCGATCAAATCAAATTAATTTTTTTTACTGTACCTCAAAAATGAAAAACTGTTAAATATGAACAAATATAAAACTTTTAGTAACACATACTACAAATGTAGTATATTTTCGAGTATTTGAGGAATTTTT